ACACTTCAGTGTAGTTCATAAAATTTGCCTAGATCTGAGATACCTTTGAGGCAAGTGCAACACTCCATATAGCAAAAAGCAGCTAAGTGGCACGCTACCAAGGCCACAAGGAAACAAGAAGTTCCAACCACCTCTCATGAGGAGGCAGAAACGAGACCTGTGTGGCCTGCTCGTCACATTAGCATTAAAAAAACAAAAACAAAACCCCAAAACCAGTGGATTATGCCTTAAATCACGTGCTAAACACACAGCCATTCCCTCACGAGGCCCCCTCAAGCAGGAACAGCACAGCAGTCACCAAAGACACCAGCTTGCGCTTTTTACAAGGACCAAAAAGCAGTTTCTGAGGCCATCGGAGAAGGGCGCGGCTTGCAGGGCAGTTATTGGAGCAGGGAACAATACACCCAGCTGACAAGTCCTATCTCTTGCCTTTCATCAGGAAATAGCAGCTAGTTTCCTTATTACCAGCTGCCTGGCAACTCACCTAAGCTTCTTGGGAAACCAGAAGAACAATTAAGCTGGGAGTAACTCCCTTGAAACACGGAAGATGCAGCACACTTACTTACCCGTATCTGAACGGCTCGTCAAATGGGGTTTGAAGAAAGATGACCTTTGATTTAATGCTCAATGGTCTTTGAATCATTCCATGAGTGAATAATAAAAAACCCCCTCTAGCACAACAAAGGGCAGCATTAAAGGCAAACTAAAAGAAAGCTTGTCCCATGTAACAGGTTCACATTTGCACAGTTGTTTTACCACAACTGAACATTGCTAGCAGTGCAGAGGTGGGATGACTTCACAGCTCAACAGCCTCTTCACTTTGAATTCAGAACAGAGTAACAGTCACCTTTTTTTACCAAAATACCATTTTGCTGAATTCCAGACGCATGCCAGGAAGCCCGCTGCAGATTGCTGGGCTCTTCCCATTTGCTTGTACCTGGGAGGCGATTTAGCCAGACGTCTTTTGGACGTCTGACAACAGTTTCTGCATTTAAGCTCCTTTCACTCTTCTGACAACCGGCCCAGGATGTTACAGCCTCTCCCATTCATGCCACTATGAGAACACTGTTCTGCTGCCTTTTACGAAAGCTGCGCGGATGCATCTATAAAGCAAGTGAAATGGATAAACAAATAAATGCTAGCATTTCATGCCCTCAGTTAGACACTTGAATTAGGAAAGTCACAGAAGGCTCAGAGTTTTTCAGTATAATCCTTTGAAAAATGAGTTTGTAAGAGCATATGCAAATATTTACCCTCAATCTAGTTCTGAAAGCATTAGCAGAGTGTTTCCCAGGGAAGGCAATTGCTTCACTCCGTTTCCTGAAGAGGTTACGGCAATCCACCGAGGCTCCAGCAAGTAAACCCTCACCTGGACCAGCCTGCTTTCAGCAAGGGGCAACAGCCCAGCAGGAAGTCCTCCCTGGCTATTGCTCTCCCACTTTCCCAGAAGGCTGGGCGAAGTCCTTACTGGTTTTTTTCTTCCTCTCCAAAAATTAAAAAATACAACTTTACAGAAAAAACCCTAGAATTTTAAAACTCAGAAGAGCAATTTAAATTATCTTATCTATAACTACATTCACCATTTTAACTAATTAAAATAGTTTTTAATCATGTGCTTCAAAGAAAACTGAATTACTTTTACCTCCAAGGAACATACCCAATCACCATTTACTTTTACACCTGCAGTTGATTTTGTTCGCTAGTATTTATTTGTGCTTGATAATCAGGGACACATCCACAGTATTTGTGCTTGCAATTAGCACTTCCTGCAGTGAGAGGGAGACTGATTCTCACTAACTAACAAAACCCAAAAGCGCAGCAGGGAAGGACTTTCTGGAACAGCATTAAGCCATCTTCAAGTATTACTGACAAGTACCTTTTAGCATGAACAGGCAGCTGGGTGATTTCTGAGGGAGCTGCTTTAACAAGAAACACACTGTGATGCTGGGACAGAGGTAGGAAACTACAAGCAGAGACAGAGCAGGAGGTGTCCTGATGGGTTTGATGGAGCCGAGAGGAGTGTGGAACTGGATGGTTACACCTGACAGGGCCTGTGCCGGTCTCTTGGCTTGGCCTGGCACAGACCAGTGTGACCTTTTTAGCATCAACACAGTTCTTTCCCTGATGGAGAGGGGGATGCCAGCGTGCTTACATCTCACAGCCTTCAAAGTACATTGTTGGTGAGGCAATTCACAGGTCAGGCAGTAAGCAAGCAGAGAATTAAGAGGATGAGCTGCAATCCTACCTCAGCTCAGCTCTGATGTGCTTCTCTGAACTGTTAGGCTGGCAATACGGCCAACTTTCTGCTTTGCTTCCTATTTACAGTGCACTTGTGAAAGCAGAGATTTAGCCAGGTTCCACAGATGAGACAAAAAAAAAAAAATCCCTATCACCTCAAAGTCATCTTCGATGTTTAACCAAACATGAACTGTTATGAGGGCTGTTACTTCCATGTGATTGTCAGTTATTCCAAGAAAAGCAGCAAGATACTTTGTCTAAACCGCAAGAATCAGCTAAAAAGTGTGATCTGTGCTACGATTGTTTCTCTTGCAACAGAGCTCACTTTGGATTTTTCTCTAGCACACTATAAACTAGATGGTTGACTACTTCCAATGTGTAACTGAAAATATGTACAACAAAAGGAGACCTTGGATTAAGGGAGAAAAACACATGTTTTCAGATGAAATGCTAAAGGCTTTGGGTCCTTCTTTGAAGCCACAAAATGCAACTGCAGATGGATCTTCCAAGATTTACGCTCACTGTACAATGCTTGGGACAACAAATTTCACAGCGTAACCACCAAGCTGAATATACAGAAATGGAAACAATCCAGCTGACATGAACACCGGGACACAGTTACTTGTTTGTTTATTTAAGCAAACATAAAACTATCCATTTGCAAATCTCATTAGGTTTGCATAACTTTCATTTCTATTATTTTTTACCTTTTACCAAGTCTTATTATCTCCCAGCTGCTGAACAGGTAGACGTGAGTAGAATGACCAGTCCTTTCTTTAAATAGTGTTAGAAAGCTTCAAAATAACAGCACAGCTTATTGGTATGGATACATACAAACACGAGTTGAAGAACAACAGATACATATTTTGCACTATATGTAAACATATATTGAAATAAAAGTGGGAGAAAGCTTTCAATTTTTCTAGTGGTTTTTTGGTAGGCAAGGAGAAGTAATTATGAGGAGACTGCTAAAGCATTTAGAAAGGTATAGTTTATTGTCTCAAGCTCTAGGAAAAGTTTTTTTTTTTTCTTTTTAATTATTGTTGCACAGTGTCCTCATTTCAGTCTGACAGCATACAGACACCTCAACATGCCGTAAGTGTCATTTATTCTCACAAAATGCTTTAAGACACTACCAGAACTGTGTGAAGTAAATACCAGTGTCCCTAAGGTAAATGGCAGATTTAAAGGAAAAAAGCTGCAACTAGAACTGGGGACGTAGCAAACGGGTGTTACACCAATCCAAGTATCCTGAGGAAAAATGAAACAAACAGCTATGAACTCTTATAAAGTGAAAATTTAAAGTTTTAGTAGACTGAAAAAAGTGAAATATTAAATATATCTATGATTTTTTGAATGTGCATTGTATTAGAACAAGTTCTTTGTTACATTATTTTCAAAGACCATATTTATGCCAAAAAATGAAAAAACTGCTGGGGTCAAGATTTAAGAAAAAATTGTTCATCTTTTAAACATCAATGGGGCATATGAATGGCCTTTGTGCTTTTAAGTATCTTGTACTACCTCCCAGCACTCAGACTTTCAGATATTCAAATTTAATCTAGTCAGCAGCTCTATTGAGAGAAGTCCATATTAAAAGCCTCCCCATTCATTCAGTAACCTTGTTTAAAGTTCCAGATGAAGCGTGCAAGAGAAACATTACAAACCTCACACACAACCAAGATGAAGCTTTAAAAGACGTTTCTTACGTAGACTGCTGCACTGCGTGACTTCTGAACTCACTCCCATCTAAACTTAAGAACATTTATATGCTATTGATGTTCAATGAAAACAGTTGGGAGATGGATGAGCAAACGGTCAGATGAAAGATACCAAAATGTCAGACAGCCTACCGACTGTTGTTGCCATGAGATCCAACAGTCAACATCAGTCTGATAAGCTATCCGACAGGATGGTACAGCCATGGAGATGTCACGACGATTGGCAACACAAGAAGACATTCAGGCGGGATTGAACAAAATACATATTCTCACACCTTGCCCTAACCTAATGCAGGGATAAATCTAACCTAAGCAAGAGCAAGATCTAACCTACTTTGTGCTCATATGTCACCTTTTGATAACACTAATTGAAAGCCAAATGAATTCTTGTTGCTTACCCCTAGGATAAAAATAAAAAACAATAGTTCAAAAATTATTAGAGTAGCCATACTCTAATAATACATACATATTATACATATCATACAGCAGCAGTGGAATGGGTATCTACTTACTAAAGAGGGAAAAGATCCATTTTAATGTTAGTTACATTCAGGTACATTAGAACCGGAAGACACACGGATTCATAACAATGCTTTAAAAATATCTGACTTTAAAAGCCTAAGTTAGGATTCTCTAAGGTTCTCTGTGTCATTGCTGGGTTTGACATTAAATCTGTTTTCAGCTGGAATCTTTGCTCTTCCCCCCTCTCTTCCCCTTCACTGCCCACAGTGCTGTGATCAGTGGCAAACATCTGAGAAGAATTTATGGTAACAAGTATTGCTGGCTATTTCTATTTAACTTGCCTATTTTAACCAGTGAGCCATACTTCAGGCAAGTGATATCCTTTCACCTTCCTTCTGCTAAGTAACAAGTTCTTAAGAAAAAAACAAAACAACAACAACAAAAGGCTTCATCACCATTTGTGCAGGAAGGATGAGTAAAGCATGCAATTCATGGGATTAAGGCTTAATAAAGAAACTGAGCATATGAAAGTGGAGAGGAAAAGAAACAGCTTAAAAAGACTGACACAAGAAATTCTGGAATGATCAAAGATGACTTTATAAAGTTTTATCTTAACTTCATTCTAAATATACAGAATAAAAAAATCTCAGCTTCAGCATTTTGACATCAATCATCTCTGCTAACATCGTGACGTTTAAGAGGGTGGCTTTTCCAACCGAGAGCACGAGCAATGCAATGGGACACTGGAGAATTCAGATGGACTAGCTTTACCATGAGGGACATGCAACAGTTTGTATCCAGTCTGTATTCATTTATATACATTTTGACGGTCTTGAAAGTTATGGAAAAAGCAAAAGCCACCCTTCAAAATAATGAGTTACCCTCAGATCAGTCTGAAGTTAAATCAGGAAATGGAGAGTATTAAATCATCAGTTTTGGAAGTAATTTGGATGGACAACATTTGTGTTAAACGCCATTTAACATCACATTGCCCATCCTGTATAATACAACCCAGACTTGTAAAGCATTTATACTTTACCTTAACATTTATAAGTTTGTCAATGAAACGTCTGCTCTAATATCCAAATTACTTTCAAAATTAAATAAAAACTTGTTATAGTTGAAAATTGATGTTAAAAAGTTTTCCCCCATTTTTGAATAATGCTGATTTTTCAACATATGGAAAGGTGTGTCATTTTTCGTGTCTGCTAAAACCCATTTTCCAAGTTTTTTTTTTTCCCAAGCTCATTTAGTTTTTTCTTCAGAGTACATCTTCTGTTGCAGTCGTTTGGCATAGCTTTGGGCCATGGAGTTGATGATAGATAAGATAAAATAACAAACCATGACAATCACCAATTTTTCAAACATCCAGGATAGCCAGTTTTCTCCCTGAAGAGACAAAACAGAAGGAGGAGGAAAATGAAGGTTAGCGGACAGCACAATGGAGAATTCTCCATTTTCTGGGTGAAAGGGAAAAGCCTAACCATTTTTTTATTATGTAATTTATCAAATTAAAAACAGGAACCAAGTGCAAGCTGACAGGATTCCTGCAGGTCCCTCTGTAAAGCTGACTTTAGTCCCTTGGAAGACAATGCAGGAGGGCTTGCCAAATACACCGCAGGGCAGATGATGAATCCTTGATCATTACTAGTGTGCTAGTGATTTATTATTCCTAGCATTGTTTTGTCTTTGCTAACAATTCACGGGGTTCAGAATTAGCAACCCTGACTGTCATTCCCTGTCACGTTCATTGCAAAGAAAACAATAAGGTCGTTGGTTAACGATGGTTTTTTCCTAAACTGTATCTACTGTGTTATCTTCCAATTAGTATCCGATTCTTCTGGTGGCACCAGAAGTTAATGCGATGACCTCGGCAGTCCCACTTTGGGCGTTTTCCACGGCTACTCTTAACTTGTATTTTTTTGTCAAAGGAGGGCAGCAATGCACTGCACAAAAATTACTTCAATGTGCATAAAAGGAATCTGCATATTTTGTTATTCCAGCTTAATCCTCCCTAATTTAGTCTCTTTTGTAGTAAGAAATGGGTAAAGAAACATATATAAGAGCTACAAGTATTACATGCAAAATGTGAGTTAGATTAATGCACTTTATCTAAAAATGCCTTAGTATCCTACGCAATTTCATGTCAAAGTTGCTCTGTCCCCACTGAAAATTCAGTGTGTTTTTTAAAATACTTTTTTTGTATGAAAGGACACTTCTGCCCCTTTGTACCGGCTCTAAACACTGTATTTTTCTTTTCCTTTTGAACACTAAAGGCTTGGAGATTTTGTTTCTCTCTTTGGCCATTAAGCCACAGATCCTGCTGGCTTCTGAAGTATTGATGCTGCACACAGTTTGTTACCATTTCACATGTAAATGCAACTTTTTTCTGCTTAAATTTATCTTTCACAATAGGCAGCTAATACAGAGGCAAGACAGGCGATTGGTCTTGCTTTATTGTTTTCTTTATTCTCCAAGAGGTTTAAGCCCAGTTGCATACCAGTACAGTATTATTTTTAATTCCCAGGTTGCTTTTGAAATGAGATTTTTTATCTATTCCCTGGGCCACTGCAAACCTTTGTGAAACAGAATCAAGAGTTACATCGGTAAACCTGGCAAGTCAAGAGACAGCTAGAGAAGGGAAAAATTAATTGGGGAGGGAGGCAGAGAGGTTCTTACCTGTGGCACGCCACTGTCAGATTTGTGGTGAAGTTTTATCCTCTGAGCTTCCAAATATTCTTGAAATGGCTTCTGAAGAGAAGGACCTATACTTGGAATAGCACTGATGCAAAGTTCATCCCAGAGAACAAGACAAAATAGGGGAGGAAAAAAAAAACAAAAAACATTTTTTTTTTTAAACTTACCACTTTGACCCAAACAGAACAAAGTTCAGACTGAGCTACAGCTCAGAAGGGCATTGCTACTTGAGAAAACAGATAACCACGAAATAAAGTGTATTTCATCTTTTTATCTGATACTTCTGAAAGGGACGTATTTCCTCAGATCCTCAAAAAGTGCTTTAAAAAAAAAAATATTTCAGAGCAAACCAGTGACAACACACTGCCGGTAACAGAAAGAAGCTGTGAGCTAGAGCATTTCCTTAAAGCCAGGGAGAAGCCAGCTGAGGCTGTGCACTGGTGCAGTGCTGAGAATAAAATGAATGACTTCTCAGAAGTCCCACATTTATCACCAGCAGTTCCTGTAAGAACTGGTTTGAACCGATTAATAAGGAAATGACTTGTGCTTGTGTCATCCCCCAGTTAAAAAAGAAACTGCTCGCCCTATGACTTGCCCCTATCTTCTCAAAGAAGACGGCCCCTTTCTCAAACTAAGTCCTTATTAGGACAATCTGTGCGTCATCCTTACCCAAAAAGAATGCATTAGCAAATTCTGCAGGCGCCTCCCACAAGTCAGTGATTAACAAAGGAACAAAGAAGGAACTATGAACCCTGTTCTGAATCATGCCATGGCTTATGGCAGATGACTTGCACAAAAGCTACAATACGTTACTGAACACCCTGTTCTAACATTAACGTTCTGAAGATCATGGGTACGTTTTTGGAACTAAGAACCCTCTCCCACCTCTGTGGCGTGAAGGTGCTAACGCCGGACAGACTCGCAGCAGCCTCCAACTTCCATTCTGCAAATGCCACAGCCCGTCCAGGCTTTAATCAAAAACAACCTAGATAACTTTTCTTTCAATCTGTACAGCATGCTATTTAGCAGGAGGTCTAAGGAGCTTTAATAATTGTCATGACACTTTAAAAAAACAACTTAAATATTATACCGAAGAAATTACCACTAGCAACATCGCTAGCTGAGCTGGTGTGGTGAGAACACACGCGGTCTGAAGGCTCCCAAGGTTTGATCCACCTACATACACCAACTCCTAACTCCAGCCACGGGAGAGTTCCCATTACGGACAAACACCATTTTAATGTCAAAGAGAATGGAGATTTTAAATTTCTGTTTTTTTTTTTTTTTTTGAACGAAATTAATATGGTCTACATTTAAAAAAGTCACCTAAATTTTAGAACTAGAGTTTTGATTCTTTGCATCACCACTTCAGGGAGGATTTAGTAAAACACGCTTCAGACACCAAGATACACGTGGCCAGTTTCACAAACTGCTCATCTCCTCCCTGAAGGACTGCAATTGCTACAGGGGGGCTAGAGCTCTAAAATGATTTTCGTCCCGATTTGACACAATATTCTGTTTTTCAGGATAAAGCCCAATTAAAAAAATAACAGAACATAAAAAAAACCTTCAGAATTTATGAAAATGCACAGACCAAAGTAGCTCACTCTCCTCCACTAGCCCTATTTCCTTCAATAGCTGGGGGCAAATAATTTTTTTTAAAAACATATTTACAAGAAAAAGATTGCTTCCCTCATGATTCACTATCACAATGAAACAAATGGGTGAGTAAATTCTGTGCCTGGATGGGCAAAATTTCAGAAAAAAAAAAGCAGAGACTAAGCATGTCTATGACACATTTTACACAAGAGCATGTCAACTTTTACAAACGATTTCCAGTTTTTCAGAAGCGTCCCTTACAAAGCTGACTTATTCGTGGTAAAAGTTCTCCTAATGCCTCAATGATCAGTACGAGTCACAGTTTTAAAAATTAGTTACATTTTGAGGTTTCTTTTCTTTTTCAAATGACACTTGGAAGCCCGGAAAAGCTACTGAAAGGTAATAGTTTACTTTTAAACTTCTGCATGATTATGAAATGAGGAATATTTAAATGATGAGAAGTGAATGATTAACAGAATGGTTGTTCAAATGCCTCCATTTTTTTTCTGAAAACTGAACTAAATCAGTGCCCAATTAGCATTAAACAACAGAACAAAGACATGAAAACCAAGTTCAGGCGGCTTGAAGAGACCCTGGTGCATCAACACTGTATTTCAAAATTTTTTTCACTAAAGTACTCAGCTTTTTTTTTTTGTGAGCATGACTAAGAATTAAGTGCACAATATTCATTTTATTAAAGCTATTTTGAAGCATTGTAAGATCCTGAATGCAAGGACCTTGGTTTCTAAAACTGCAATATTTTGCACATTTGCAGAGAGACTTTAATACTGAAAAAAGGGTGCATAAATTTAAATAAGGAGTAAAATGAAGCAGAGTAACATGTAGAAAATCATGAGTCCACAGTACTAGGAATAAAATTCTTGAAATCCCATTTCAGTGGGATGGTATCAGTTACTTGTACTCTTCTGACAAAATTCAATCATTTAATCAACCAGCTAACATGTATGTCACCCAATATCTAAAGCGTAGACATCATGTTAGATCTAAAAGTCTTTAAAAATCAGTTTTCATTTTATTTAATTACAAACAAATGAGTGGTTCCCCCCCAAACTTAGTGAAGTTCAACTCACTAACTCTGTTCTTACCAAAGGAGGAGGGGGAAGACTTCAGTATAAATTTTCAAGGATTACACTCACGCCAGCAGCAGGTACACACGCAAAAGGAACAGATTTGCATCATAATTCTGCGCCACTTAGCAGTGACTTTAAGATACCCCTTCAAGAGACTGCTGCAGTTTCAGGACTCTAGATGCAAACCGCAGGCGTATTTACGCATCCGACTTGATGAGGGAAGAAGCTGGAAGATAACCCTGTCTGTAGAATAATCTAAAACCAACTCCTTGCATTTTCCTTTGAGAATCAAGCCTATTGTCTTTCAAATAAAGAATATGATCGGACAAGAAAATAAAAGGACCTTAGTGCACAACAGAACTTAGCCCGTCCACACTTTGTAGTCTCTCTCTGCCAAAACAAAACACACCAAAAAACCCCCAAACACAGAACCTGCTGTCCCTTCTTAAAGGCTTAAAAGGTTAGTCTTGGTGAGCTGCTTCAGGACTTCATTTAAAAAAAAAAAGACAAAAAGAAAAAAAAAGTTATTCACTAGAAGCTGTCTGTCAAAATAAGCAATGAAATGTATTTCACTAGTTGCTATCGTTGTTATTAATGAGTTTTATAGTTAATCAGAAACAAGGGTGCACAAGGAATAAAGGTGCTGTTCTTGTGTATTCTGCCTTTTCAACAAAATTCACTTGAAAAACAAAGACTAGCTACAGTTTTACCATAAGATTCAGGAAAAAAAAAGCTTTGGATTTTTTTTTGAGAACAAACTACTTTGAAGAAATTTTTACAGAAGAAACTTTAGAAACCAGTTAACATTAAAACACCCATTTTTGTTTCAATTCATTCTGACTATCTGCTAAAATGGAATGTTTCACAAGGAATTGAAAGTGACAACAGACTTCCAAAAAAATTGCACCAGCCTTTGGTATAGCCTAAATTCATTAAAATCATAACGTTTCAGTAAAAAACATTATTTGCATTTTAATACAACAACATAAACACCCATTAAGAATTTTGCTTCACTGAACAAAACACTGTTGGAAGCCTGTTTCAGAAGTATTACCTGGTATTTGTAATTAAACAGAGACTTTTTTTTTTTTTTTAAATTAAGAGCCACGATTTCTATCCAAATGAAAAATTAGATATCTTTTTTCCCAACAAATAAAACAAACCTTCACATCTGTTTGAAGCACCACACAACAGAGATTCAGCAAAGTTGTTCCAGGATTAGTTGAAAAATTACACCAACTATGTACAGATTCTGACAGTCTGAGTCCTAAAACTTCTATTCCAGTTACAGCAAAATCCCGGTTATTAAAATACACTGTACAAATTATTAACTTGTTTTTCAAAGAACGACTCTCAATATTTCAACCTCAAATGCATATTTTGGGAAACCTGTATTTTTAACAGAATCTTTGGAACTACAGGTAGGAGTTTTCTCAAATGGATGTGGATGAAGCACCACACCAAGAGGAGAGAAAAAAAAGAAGTATTTTCTGTATGGCAGCTTAGCAAAAAGTAGAGAGTTACTCAGTACTTCAGCCAAATGCATGTTTACTAGTATTAAAAATACTTCTTGAAAACAATTTAATAATTATATTTGCACTTTTGAAAGGTGTACTTTTCATCTTACGAGATCGTTAGGAGTATAGGTTACTCTTGAGTTACTGCTTTTAGAGTTTGTGAGCACTCAGATAATTACAAGCTGTGCTAAATGCTGAAGTACAGCTCTCTATCAAATGCTGCATTTTAGTATCATTGCGCTAACATTTCACCAAAAAAAAAAAAAAAAAATCTGTCAGTCCACGATTCAGGATATAAAGTTCCCATCTTACAAAAACCTCCGCACATGTGCAGATTCACCTACTTTTCCGGAGAGAAATGTCAGAATTAGCCAGTATTTTCAAGAAACACCGAAGCTGCCATTTCAGACCCACCTTTTAGGAACATTAATACAGTGGGGTTTTACTGCTAATGGAACTTTCTCATTTGTAAGAGGCTTCTAACAGCAAGTGAGGATTAAGCAGCTGATTAACTCTAAGCAGTTCTTAAACTCCATTTATTCCGATGGAAATTCAAAATGTAAATAAGGACTTCAGTGGCATTCCGTTCTGACTGTTACACCCTATTCAGCAGCTCGTATGAACAACTGGCATCAGCACCTCAGCTGTGATGCTCGAGACACGTTAAGCACTGCAAGTTTAAAAGCATGGAAGTCCGTTTTATCCTGGAAATAATCAGCTGAAGGGAAAGGAGAACCACAGCCATCGAATACAAACACGCCGCCAGGCTCCCAGGCCGAAACGCACCGAAGCCCTGCTTGGAAAGGTGATGCAATATTGAGTCACAACCCCGTTTTATGGATGATCTCTCCAATATCCACAGCTGTTAATTTGGAAAA